CGCCCCACCTCCAGCCCCTGCGATGCTGCGCTCCAATCTTCAGAAACACATCCATTCTAATTTGTCTTAGGGAATCTGGAAACCCCTAAAAATAGATGGAGGACTGGAACATAGAGGTGTACTCGAATTTGGATTCCTCCTGCATATCATCTGGCAGAAGGAAAGAGCACCAGAGTTACCAAATGAGGCCAATTCATGCCCTGGAATGCGGCCGCCCAAGTAACGATGATGGATAGTGACAGCATGGCTTTCATGTGGCAAGATCCCCACCACCAGCTGTGCCAGGGGAAGAAAGAGCGTGCTGGAATTCACAGCATTCCCCCTCGGATTAATCCCCGGCCTTCCTGCTGCGCCTGAATGAATTGTGAGAGGTATTCGTGGCTCTGCTGGGGGAGATTTGCTGATTTCTTTGGGCCTCCTGGGGGGCAGTGATATAGAGAGCAAATAACCAGCATGCAGCACCAAAGTGATGTAATGGGCAGGGAAACTGCTCTGCTGTGCCCACGGCTGCTGTTCTGCTCTCTGCACGCTATGGGCACGGGGAAAAACTGCAGCTGGGCTGGTGATCTGCAAAGCACACTGTGGCTCACCCAGCTGGGAGTGCTCATCAGTACAAGGATGGGAAAATGCACAGAATGTGCAGCCGATCTTGGGAGCACAAAGATGAGCTGGCTGCAACCTGAACCGTAGGGCCACAGAAGTCCAAGAAGTCATTAAGGAGGTATCCACATCTGCCACAAACATTTTGTACATCAGCTGTTCCTACAGCATCAATACCGGATTTACTTCATGATTCATCTTCTTCCTCTGCATGTTGATCTAACTCCCCTGACCACATCCAGTCTCTGATTACTAGCTATTACAGCCTTACAAACTGCCTTCAGGGGACAGTAAACATCCAGCACGGTCTGAGGCTTTGGTGTCACCACTCAGCAGCAAACACTCACGGCATAATAAATCCATCAGCGATTTCCTAGAATATAGGCCCAGCAATAAACCCAGCTGCTTGGAACTAACATCTCCTCCAAACAATAAAGAGCTTTCAGATGACTTTAGAAGACTCCTGGTTCCACCATTAACATGGGAGAAGCAGCAGACCTTCTCATAGGTGCTGTATGCTGAATCTATCAGACAGTTTTTCAGGAGCCACCCCGTGATTTTAGATGTGTTTTGCCAGCTCTGCCATTCCAACCCAAACCACGAAAGAGGCATTTGTTCTTCCCCTGCTTTGGCTGTCACACCAGCTACCTGGAGCCTCAGAAGAGAATCCTTTCCTCACCAGTTTGTGTTGGTGCAGCTCAGGACAAACTGTGACCTTGCAGCTGGGAACTGTACGCACCACTAGGGATATAATTCTACTCCTTTAATTCTCTGCATTGTATGAGAATCAGACAAATCAGTGTCTAACATCTCTCAGCAACATGGCAAGTGTACACTCTCCTGGTCATTTCTATATGAGTTACGTTTCCATAATTATAATTATTATGTCATTATTCACGGTTTTGTAAGTTCTCTGTGGCACGAGACAAACACACGATTTTTGGATCACAGTTGGATCTGTGTTGGATCACAGCTCCAACTGCTGTGGAACTGATTGCCACTGTCACATCTCCTCCTCATCCCAGCAATCTCCCCCTGCAGTTCAGTCTCCCAGCACGTACAGGAGGGGCAGAGACTGAGGCAGAGGAGCTTCCAGGCATGAACTGAGTTGCACAGGACTTCATTCTTTCAGGTGTTTCTCTTTTACTATATTTGCAATACATATGTAGGCCTACCTGATGTCCTTTAGCTCGAAAGATAAATGATGAAGTCCCAAAATCTCTCATTTGCTGAACCTTCTATCTTCCTCCTCCAACAGATTTAACACTTTGCCACAGGACATTCCAGTAACAGCAGATGTGGGGTTTAAAGGACCAAGAACAAGAAGCTAAATAGGATGGGAGCAGCCACATATCTACCTGATGTGTCCTGTGGAACCAGGGTGACAGCATGCCCTGCTTGGGGAGCTGTCTCCTAACTCCTCTACCTTCAGTTCATTTAATTTCTGTTCTTGCTTCTCTTCCAGCAACCGAAGTGAGGCCCATCGCATCTCCTACCGATTCCAGACACTATGCCCAGCATACAACTTCATAGATGTCCCACTTGTGTACATACAAATACTTCGAGTGGCCAAAGAAAAAGACTTTTTGTCATATTTGTTCTGAATCAACTGAACCTATTTCAGGATTATGCAACCCCTAAAAAATGCTGTCTGTCAGTAGTTTTAAGTAAATAAACAAGACCCGCTTTAATTTAGACAAATTTCCAGGCCACAGCTGTCAGAATGCCACTACAAGCTTTTCGGTATTAAGAAACAAAACCTAAATAAGAAACAGAAGCTGCATCAGGAGCAGGGCCCTGTGGGAACCTTCCTGCCTTTGGTCTGACAATCTAAGAAGTGTGTTCTGGTTTCCCCCGGCATCCGGTGCACTCCAGCAAGTTTCTAAATAAAGTGGAGCAAAAACTTCACTCAGATCTTTAGTGCTCCTTAAATGGCACGTTCCTTCCTTGGCACAGCTGCAGTTCACGTTAAAGCAGGCAACCACGCTAACATTTTTCCTAAATGCTGCCCTATATATTCTGAATTCTCAGCACTCAAAAGTCTCCAAAATAAGTGCTTAAAGTAATGACTGCAAACACTTGCACAAGGCTGCACCCATCCAGAACAGCTATTTTAACCACCTCACTCCATTTACCTTCGGTGACCATTAAACACAGGATGCTCCACGTGAGGACTACCAAGGATAAATTAGCATCCCATTACAGGATTTGCCATCATACCAGGCTGCCTCTTGCTACAAAAAAAGAGTGACAGGTGCTGAATCTTCCTGATAAACTTACACACAAGCACACACCAAGGCTCAAATGCAGCAAAGAGAAAGGTTTGCTTTATCAAGCAGCGTTCAGCCTGCATGAGAATGCTTAGTCCCTTCCATACCTGAGTAAAGCAACCTGTATTACATACAGCATCTTCTGACTGTGAACACAGATGCTGGGAAATCTGTATCACAAGATAACTCATTACAACTGCAAAAGGCATTCCTAAAAATATATATATATATATCCCCAAATTAAAATGAAATCGCTGGCATTTCAAAGATAAGGGATCTCATGAAAGTCTAACAGCTATGGAAAATGAAATAAGAAGCAAGAAGATTATAATTGAATAGCTGTCTCTCTAATGCATTCACAGAACAGAATACTGAAAATATGCAGGGAAATTATATATGGGTCAACTCAAGAAAAAAAAGAACCCTAAATCTCACATTAAATGCATGTTTGAGCATTTCACTGCATTTCATCAGCACTCCCTTCTTCAAAAAGCTGAGCACCATCACTGCCATCCACACATCTCAGCAGCTCTGACCTCTGCTGTATTTCCTGCTTTACACACATTTCTGTCACCACTTTCTTTCTCTGTCTCCACCTGCTCCACAGAGAGCTCCAGCGTTCACAGAAAATGCCCCAGCACATAAAAACGATCCACAGAAAGCTGCTAAGTGCCTTCTGCCTCCCATCTTCAGCTCTCTACAAGTTGCTCAAATCAGTGAGAGAGATTGCACCACAGAAGTAGAGACTGAATGAACTGGAATAATCAATTCCAGTTCCAATTCTAAACCCCAGAACAAGGAATGCCCCGTATCGGCCTGGATGGTGTAACAGGCTGCTGATGTTCCTCATGGGCTGTGCCAGGAACCCTTCTGTGGCTGCACCAGTGCTTGTGGCACACTTTCTGAGTGGGATTATTCATTCACCAGTTTCATTGGCACAGCTGCCCAGGGAGCGAGGGAGTCACCGTCCCTGGGGGTGTTCAGAGCCGTGGGGATGTGGCACTGAAGGATGTGGGCAGTGGGAACAGGGGGTGGGCTGGGGCTGGGTTGGGGATCCTTCCTGGATGATTCCATGAGCATCAGTAACATACACCCACTGCTCACCTCAGTTTGTCTGGTCCAGTATTACTGAGAATTTTAGGAACGTGCAAACAAGAGCTGCATTCCCAGTTCATGCACCACCTCTTCTTGCTGTGCAGTGCCCACAAGTGCCTGCAGCCCCACACATCCCCTGGCAGTGCCATGCAGCCATTCCAGGCTGCAGAGGGCACCCCACCGGATGGATCCTCCCAAACCCTGCCTGCTGAGCTGCAGCTCCTCAGGGCAGCGGGATGCTGCTTCCAGCAACCCCATTCTCAGCACAAAGGGAAAGAACATCAAAGGTGATCCTACCTGTTTTGTGCATAAGAGAAAAAAAATAGAACGTTTTACACTACTATAGCGCATCCAGTCTTGATTATTATCACCAAGATTTTTTAATTACATATCCAATGTATCTACCTGCAAAATCTCTCTCATGCTTACGCTGGATACTTGCGTTCGCTGCTGTATTAGTCATTGCTTAATTACCTCTGCGGAGCCTAATTAACAAGGATGGCGGAGGAGCTCCGGCACGTGTTAACAAGGCTGCCGACAGCAACGAGCTGCAAGCTCCAGGCGACGTCAGGACTAAGGACGGCCGAGGGGCTGTCAGAGCCCGGGGACAGCGCGGGGCGTGGAAGGGAAGCAAATTCCCGGGGTATTTCTGTGACACAGAGCACAGGGAGCGCCGGCACCCCTGGGCCAAGTGCTGCAGCACCCAGCGATGGAGCGAGCGGACACGGTGGACTGCGGCCCTGAAACTCCAGCTTTGCGTGCTTAACGGCGGGTGAGGCTCTATAGCGCGGTGCTCCTGGGGCTGCGCCGTGTGATCTGAAACACCAAATACGTGCAGTGCGTGTGTGTGCAGCCATGTGCCGCGCCGTGCCGCCGCGACGTTCGCACTCGGAGAGCTGGGCCTTCAGGGGGGCGGCAGGCGGCGTGCGGGGCCGCGAAGGACCGAGGCGGGGAAGCCGGGGTCGGGCAGGGCCCCGAGCCGGAGGGGCCTTCGGGCTGTGCGAGGCCTGCGGCGGAGGCGGGCCCGGGCACAGGCCTCGGGAGGCGGAGCCGCCCTCGGGGCGGGCCCGGAGCGGTCGGCGCGGCGTTGGCTGCCAGTAAGGCTCGGCGGGGCGCGGGGTTGAGGCGGGAGGAGGCGGGCGCGCAGGGCGTGCAGGGCCCGGGCCGATCCGCGACCCGCAGCTCGGCGCCGGGCCGGGCGGGCCCCGCTCGCCCCCAGGAACCCTCGGTACCCCCGGTACCCTGGGCCCTGCCGCTGCTGGGCGGAAGGCCGCGCTGCGGTCCCTGCCGGCCCTCCCGCCCTGCCCGCCCGCGAGGCGATGCCGGGTTACAGCGAACCTGGGGCCTCTGTTGCGTGCACGGAGTTCGGGTGGAAATATCCAAATAATTTTCTAGGACGGTATCTCTGATCAAGCAGATTTTATTCGCAGTTGCGATGGCGGGCCTCCTGCAAGCAGGAGAGCGCCCAGAAAACGGCGTTACACCCTTGATTCCCTATCGCCTGACGCTGATCTCTTTCTCCCCTGCTTCCTCACTGGCTGAGTACTGCAGGTTCACAACCTTCTCGACGCTTCACTAAACATGCAAACACTGGACAAATACAAATTTTTGCTGCCTAAGCACAAATCAGTAGTTAATTAATTAACTTATTGCACACTTGATCACTACTTTGCCGGTATCTGCTTGTCCTTTCCACACAGATAAGCTTGGGAGAAAGACAGGGGAGTATCTCAGTGCCTTCCTGTCAGTCCCAACCTTCTCACAGAGTGAGGCAGTTCGGCCTTGTGTAGAGGCCCTGGCTGCTTTGATGTTTGCTAAATCTGTTTTTCTTTTGCTGGGATTTTCTTAACAGAACAACGCTACAATATGTTTTCTAATCCTTAAACCCTATACTCGCATTGTTTGGAACATTTAAAAGGAAGAATTAATCACATAATTCAGTAATAATGTTTTTAAAACATGCCGCTAACATATGCAGTACTTTTACTTCTTAGATCAACTGTTTCTAAGGATAAGTTACAGAATACAAATGCATTATGTTCTACTTCTTCAAACCAGTTGCTCTTTTCAGTATCAAATGCAGAAACAAGGTTCCATTCCCACATGGGGGATCTGAATGGTCGTGCTGGAAGTGAGCACCCTTTCATTGCGCTTCGATTCCCAGGGTCATGTGGAACAAGGTCGCCCTGTGCTCTGTTTGCAAGCACTCCCCTCACCCAGCATCATTACTGCTGCCGAGACTCCCACCCCTAACTCATGCCTTCAAAAGGACGTGCTTGGGCTCCAGCAGCGATAGGCAGTGGGCACGGATAGCACAGAATGGGACACGCGGCGCGCTGCCCGGCTGCTTGGGAGGCAGCAAAGCCAAACGCAGGCGTTGTGCTCAGATGTACCCACTGCTGGATGGACGCGTCCTGCCTGTGCACCGACACGTGTTTGAGGAGAACGTCAGGAACAGTGAGGCTGTCATTAAAAGGTACTAGTAGCTTTTGTGATGTTTTCAGCATGGTTGGTACCTGTGAGGTGATGGGAGAGTTACGCACGGGTGCTTTTAGGAGCTTTTAACCTAGATTGCTAATTAAAAACTAAAGCTGCAAACAACCTGTTGGTTGTTTTTTCTCCTGCCCGCTTTGAAGCCCTGGCTGTTTTCCTTTCTGCTGCTTCCTGGGCAGTTCCTCTTGACTGCAGTGCCCAAATCTGGGTTCGCATTGTATCTCAATGTTATCCTATGACATTGTTCTGCATGTATTGCCAAGAATTATTTTCTGGGCCTTCATGAGGTAAGTTTCACAGTTAATTTTGAGTGAAAACTTAATCATTTGAAGAATTGCGATTTGTTAGCAAAACAGGACAATATATATTCTTGTGGATCCGATGGCAGAATTCAAAGGCCTTTGTTCAGAGGGATGGTGCTTGAGCTGGAAGCACGGCTATGGAAAACACACTGTGCCCTCCTGTGGTGGCGTTTGCAATATTGCTAAAAACCCTTGCCCTTTTTTTTCCTGAGGTTTTTCAACCTCTGCAGTCTGCAGGAACCCTTAGTAAGGTGCTGGAGTCATACACAGAGTGGTTGGTAAGTAGTTGTGTCAGGAGGTGTTTTTGTTTACAGATGATGCGTCTTGGTGAAAAAGAATGTTTTACTTTAAATACACAACCTGGTTTGTTTCAGATCAAAGTTATTTGAAGTACCACGTTTGTTTCCAGTTTTATTCCATTCATTGTCTGCAATTTATGTTCTCCAGTAATGAATGGTAATGAGTTTCTCTATTTGATGATCCTAGTGACAGTGCAATATTCAGTGTTATTAAAGCACATCCTCTGTGCTGCTCATTAGGCCTGCCAGGTAAACTTTCAGCACTTGCTGAGGGGGAGCAGCAGAGGAAACCCTCGGCTGGATTCTGCCCTGGAGCAGTTGGAACCTGGGGTTGATGTCTGTGCTGAATTAGGACTGGCACATTGTGATAGCTTTACTCCTATCTGCAAGCTCAGGGGCTCAGGTTGCTGCTGTAAGGCAGCATCTCTCAAAGTGTGCTTTGGTGGCTGGTGTCAGACCCTTCACTGTGCTCCGTTCACGGGTTTGCTGATAGGAGCCAAATATGGTCACATATATTGTGAAGTAATGTGTTGGAGGCACAAGGCAACTGCTGGGAGGGGAGTGGGCTTAATGATGTCTACTAGCTGATCATGAGCTCCAAATAGAACATTTGTATTACTCCACTTTTTTGGGGTGGGTTGCTGCTAGGCTTGGAGAGGTGACTTCTGAAGAATGAAACTGAACTATTTGCTTGAAATAACATATCTCTGCTTTTTGTTATATCTAGTGAATATATATAGCTATGAATAGTGTGGCCTGTGGGCCAGTTCTTCTCTGTCGTTACCAGGCTGTGTGAGTTCATCTTTGTTCCCATGTCACTGGGATGAAACCTGTGCAATACATTGAAGTACTGTGCAAAACCTATGGAAAGCTAATGTGTAAGGGAAGGTTTCATTCACTGGAACTTTCTTTTCAAACCAGATACTCAGAGTTGCTGCAGGTGGTCAGTAAAGGAGGGGGAGAGAACGCCGTCCTGCGTCACACCCAGAGAAACAAGAAGCTGTTTGTTCGGGAGCGCCTGAAGCTGCTTCTGGATGAGGAGTCTTTCCTCGAGCTGTCCCCCCTTGCAGGCCTCAGTCTGCCATATGGTGACGTCCCTGCTGCTGGATGCCTCACTGGTAATTGCTAGGAAATGTAACGGGAAATTCATGAAGTTCATTTGCTTAATTGTTTGAATCTTTAATTAAGTTTCGTATTAGATCTCGAGATGCACGTGGGGTGAGGGTATTGTTGGGATAAGCCCATGCTGGAGATGCAGCTTGGGAAGGAGGAGGGTTTTGAACCAAAGTAATTTGAGAGGTGATGTTTGAATGTGTTGTCAGTGGCTGTAGGCAGCGTGCAATGGTTGCAGTCTGCAGGCTTAAAAGTCGTCTAAAAGATTTAGAATGGTGTGTCACATACACTGATGTCTGTGCAATGAGAGGTGACCAAGTTACTGCATGGCACAGCCCCTGTGGCATTTATTTTGTAATGTTTTTCAAATCACAGAGTTTCTCAAGTTCATTGCTCTTTGAGGAGCAGTTCCAGTTTACAAAGCGACTAGAAGAATGGATTGTGAAATCCTGCCTTTCCTTAACCACAGCCTTATGTTCTTCAGTTTTGTATCAGTAGTTTTTAATTCCCTTCCCTGTTAACTCAGTCCAAGAGCTGGAAGTCACCTTTTTTTTTTTTTCCTCTTATACTGTCACCAGGTGAAAGCTGTATTTTAAGTTCTGTCTTGTGTAATTTAGATGTATTTGTTTGTTTGTTGTCTGTGTGTCATTATCCCCCCGTTTCTTATTCCAGAAAAGAGCTATAGATTTCTTCTAGGTTTGGTATTTGCAAGTTAATTTGCAGCTTCCTGAAACAGTGTTAACAAAACAATGCCCTAGTTATAACTTGGCCTCCTCGTTTCATTTACGGTGTCTCAGAGTCTGATACATTTCTGTGTTGCCTCTTGTAGGAATTGGAAAGATCTGTGGGATTTGGTGTGTCTTCATAGCGAATGATGCAACTGTAAAAGGAGGAACTATTTATCCAATAGGAGTGAAGAAACAGCTGAGAGCTCAGGAAATAGCCATGCAGAACAGACTGGTGTCTGTGTACCTTGTTGACAGTGGGGGAGCGTTCCTACCACTGCAGGTAATTCCAGAACCACTTTGCAAAGGAATATTCTCACTTCTTGTCTCCATCATATTGATTCTGTAGAAATCTGAGATTTCTGTTGTGTTTTCTTGGTGGGCTGGCTTGCACTGTGTTGAGCTTTGTCTGAAAATCTGAGTCCAGGAGGTGATTTCAAGACACATAACAGCAGTGATGGCTTTGGCTAATTTTGCATCTAGTGTCAAAATGTGGCAGCTTTAGTATCAGTGTTGGGAGGAATTGGTGACCAAGCAGGCAGCATGGCTGCTTCTCAGTGCACCAAAATGCTTTGATGCCCTTAATAACTCAGAAACGTTGTTTGAAATACCTGTTTTCAACTTGAGAATCTTCGAAGTTACTGTGTTCTGTTACAAAGTCTGTGATAGTGATGTGCAAACCTCCATAGCTTCTGAAAATAGAATTTTTAGAATTCTTGCTATAGTGGCCTTGAAGACTTGAACAGGTTGCTTCCCCATGCACAGAGGTCATATTATCACAGACTGGTTGTTCCCTCTCCAGACTGAAAGCAAATGGGTAGAAAAAGGTTTTATCTGAGCTGAACCAAGAACTATGCAAAAAGGGAAACTCCTGAAGTCATTTCACAGCTTAAGTGTGAACATGAGCTTACCCTTCCCCATGGTTACAGTTGAAGCTTTTGTGGAATAAATTGGTTTCACAAAACACAAGAAACTTTCCTGTGCTTTTGAAACACAGAGGCCAGGGGTATTTTTGTGGAACTGCACGACGTGTAGGGACAACAAATGCAGCAGAGAATGCTGTGCATGAAACTTTCAGGTGTGACTGTTAGTGTGGCCTTCTCAAAATTGTTACAATGCTTTTGTGAATGAATGAAGTGTTGTCTTTTGTAGCTGATACTGAAATTCACTGTGTCTCTTCTCTCTAACGTCAGTCAGAGCTGTTCCCTGACAAGCTGCATGGTGGAAGAATTTTTTACAATGAAGCAATAATATCTGCTATGAAAATCCCTCAGGTATGGTGTCATTTTGAATGCAAGTATGTGTAGTAAAATTCTCTTCTAATACAGCTTCTAGGAGCAGCTCTAAAACGTGCAATACATTTTTGAAAGCTCACCTTTTCTATTTGAGGGGCAGAGTGATGCAAATGGCATCTCACATAATAGAACACTTCAGCATTAAGAATGTTCTGAGTGCTTACTGACTGGTTTGCATGGGAAGCATCAAATCATCAGGTGGTTTCAGAGTAAACATTGAGCTCTGTGTTGCCAAGAGCAGCCACGTCCATGCTGGTATTTGTACCTTTAGTTCATGGCTTTGCAGGCTGTGGTTCAGTCTCTTGAACATTTCTGAAGTAAAGGTAATGACTTGGCCTTCCACTCTGCTCTCTTTAGCATGTTGGTTTGGTCTTGGTTCTGTATCCCCCAGGTGGCAGTGGTGTGTGGCTCCTGTGTAGCAGGAGGTGCCTATGTCCCAACCATGGCAGAAGAAGCGGTGATTGTAGATAAAATTGGAACTCTGTTCCTTGCTGGCCCACCTCTGGTCAGAGCTGCTACTGGAGAATATGTGTCTCCAGAGGACCTAGGAGGAGCTACACTTCACTCTAGGTATGCATGAAAACTGTAGAGAGCTGAGCACACTTAGCTTTAAGGAAGTACCATTCCATCCCAAATTGACATGACTGAAGCTGTCTCCAGTGACTGAACTTGCTGTGGTTCTCAAGGACTTGCAAAAGATGTTAGAAATGATAGGTGAATTATGACAAAAGTTAGTGATATTCAGTTGTATATGTGGGGGAGTAACTTGATTTTTGGGTTGGTTTGCACAGAAATCCCACTGACTGTAATGTTTTGAGCTCATTCATACAGGAGCAAAAGTGCACGATGTTGTCAGAGATGTCAAATATTCACGTAGAGATGAAGGTTCTTCCTTTAGTTTGGGTTTTCTATCAGAACTCAGATTTCATTACTACTAATTAATGTTGCTTCCTCTCTTAGAGTCAGTGGCTGCAGTGACCATTTTGCATCTTCAGAAAAGGAAGCCTACGAGTGTGTTCGAAATATCATCTCAACGTTGAATTATGAGCCCGTGCCAGAAGAGCTCGTGGAGCATGACCATCCTCTCTATAGCTCTGATGAGCTCTTGGGGCTGGCACCACGAGATTATGGCTGTACTCTTCCTGTAAAATTGGTAGGCTGGCAGATCCCATTATTCCTTCATTCTTTTGGTCTGCTCTAGCTGTTATCTTCAGACTGATAGGCAATGAGGAGTTCTTCCCCCATAGGGAAATCACAAAGTACCTGAGAGATTTCATATAGTTGCCTAATCAGTTGCCACCCAGTCTTGAGTCTGCTGCAAAACAGAATAGCACTGATTCTGTAGAGTTGTTGAAAATGTTTAAACAGAAAGCCTGCTAGAGACAAGATGATTACAGATCACACCAGCTGATACCCATCTGTTTCTGTGCTCTGTTGGCTGCTTTAGAACATGCATCCCTTTAGAAAGGGGCTTGTGTCGTGTTGTGTCCTGTCTCCCATCTCTGTGTTGTTGTTTTTTTAAGGGGTCTAGGCTCTATGTGTAAATCAAATGCCTAATGAAAAATGCAAAAACAAAGAAATTGAAGCTAGATTTGTTTGAGGTTGGGGTAACCACCTCTGCAGAGACGTGCAGAACTGCACAGCACTGTGGTTATTGTGTGATTCTAGGTGAGGCTTGGTCTTCTCTGAGGATGTGAGCCCCTTATCTGTACCAGTGGTAAGCTCCTGGAGTTAAGGGGATTGGCTGTAATCAGCAGTGTAGCTTTGTAGCTTTGACTAGCAGCTCTTAAATCTGCATTCAGAAGAAGTGTGAGCACTATGCTGCTGGGTGTCCTTAGGCAGGCAAACTGCAACTGTATGTGCTGCTGTTTTAGCAAGGCTTTTATGCACAGGAGCAGCTGTGGTCTGTAACTTTGAAATAATTGTGGGGTTGAACTGTGTCTCGGGAGATATGGTTGGTAATCAAACAAAAACACAGATTTGATGCTTTGTGCATATGGAGTATTTATTGGAGCATAAGACATGAAAGGAGCGTTGTGATCATTTCGTTTGACTATTTGTGTAATAGAGGTCTCTCCACTGCTTGAACAGAGCATATCTTTCATCAGGACTGGTCTGTTTTCACCTAGATTTCTATAGGCAAGACTGTGTATTTCTTTGCAGGTTCTGAGCCGCCTGCTGGATGGAAGCAGGTTCCAGGAGTTCAAGGCTGACTATGGAACAACATTAGTAACAGGATTTGGCCACGTGGAAGGGTAAGGCTATGAGATTCACCATCACTATGCATGGATGTGTATGTCCAAATAGCTTTTGTACCACTATCAGGATCTACAATATTCCCAGAACAATATTTAAGGAGTTCTGACTCAATGAGGAATTGATGATAAGTACTTCCAGAAAGCCTCATCCTTTATCTTTGGGCCCCACATTCGCTGTGTCTCAGGCTGATTGCAGCAGAGGGATTACAAATGAATCGTTTCATGACTTTGTGAAATTATTTATTTGGGCACTTAAGTCACTGGACAGTTGGAACTTTGACATTTCAGCAGATTCTCTGAGAAGTAAGAAACAGCATCTGTAAGTGTTCCTTCCCAGACTCAGCCCAAAGTTATCCCATCTCCTGCAGGATGGAGATGGAATAGTGGAACAGTATCCGTACTGTAGAACCTAGCATAGTTCAGGGCAGACTCAGTCTTACAGCACACTCATAAAACATACAACATTCCAGCCAAAAATTTAATTAAAAAAAAAAAAAAGTAGTAAAATGTACTTTAGGGAGTTTTTTGGCAAAAAATATAAACTTTTCATCTTGACTGTTGTGATATATGTTAGAGGAAACAGAGGGCACCCAGAATCCTGGCACCTAGTTTGCCATCTTGCAGTGTGAGCTGTGGCAGATCACCTGTACCCTTACCTGCCTTCTTGTGAGTGTTAATGCTTCTGTGCTTTGTACATAGGGAGTGCTATAAAAAGTCTCATTTGTTAGGGGTAGAAGGTTCCATGAATGAAATGGTGCCTGTGATGGCATCCTTTTAGAGTCTGGATCTTTGCAAAAGGGCAGATCCACGCCATCCATTTATGTTTCCACCCCTCAGCAGGATGCTGCATGCTATCTTTTCTTCATTTCTGGGGAAAACATTCATGTGTCTGTTTTGTAGGCACTTGGTGGGAGTGGTGGCTAACAATGGGGAGCTTTCTCATGATGCTGCTCTCAAGGGCAGCCATTTCGTACAGCTGTGCAGTCACCGGGGCATTCCCATCCTCTTCTTCCAAAATACTGCTCCACATGCAGCAGAGCCAACCAGCACCTCTCAGGTATGGCGTGTCAATCTGCCCTGCTTCATTCAGGCAATGCCTGGCTCTTGTTTTAACTAACACACATTTTGAAAACTATTAATTACGAGGAAAACTAATTTTTAATCCACTTTTGGTGGTCAAATCAAGAAGTTTCATAATTAACTTTCTTAAATCTTCCCTTTGCTTTCTCACTTGATTTTGATTTTAGGCAGGCCTGCAGCCAGGCTGGTAGTGCAGGCTGTGACATTCAGAATTTGTGGTGCTCTTCCCTTTGAGATGGTTGGTTCTTGAGCCTGTTGGTTCTTCTGCTACCACTGTGATCCACAGAAAATAAATATTTCCCTTGTCTAAAGTGAAGGCATTGAAGTACAGCATGCTGTGTCCTGGGCTTTAGAAAGCCTCCTTGTAGAGCCTATGTTAAGAGACTTTTGCAGCTCCATTCCCCCAGCTGTCACCAGCACTTAAGACAAACCCTGCTGCAATTCTGTTGTATCTGAGCTCTGCTGATGCCTGGGAGACCCAGAGTTGCTCTGTATCGCAGGTTTCTGCACACTGGTTGTAACAGTTCTGCTGATTTACACTGTAAAATAAGTAGCACTGTGGGTCCTGGTGGTTAGTTCACTGATCCCACCTTGCTGTTTTGGAAGAAATGATCACATGGCATCGTGAAGAAAGAATTGTTTTAGAAGTAGGTTGCAAGTTTGGGGGAAGTGGAAGGAATCTAAAAAAGCGCAGCACTAAAATGCTTCTTTTCATTTCAGGCAGAGGCTCAGGCCAACAGGTTGAAAGCCCAGGCCTCCATGATGGCTGCTGTCGCTTGTGCAGCTGTTCCCAAAATCACCATAGTGATTGGTGGCTGTTTTGGGAGCGAAAGTTATGCGATGGTAAGGATGCCATGGAGGTCAGGGGGGTTGGCACTCGACTTAACGCTTTGCCCAGCGCTCGTGGCGCTTTCATCTTTTCAGCATCGTCAGCTGCTGTGCAGACATTTAACTTGATTGGTGATCCTAATTAATTGTAAGTAAGAACTGCATCACAAGGCGTGATTACAGCAGATTTGATCTGCAATGAACCTGGAGCGGGTTCTGAAAATCAGATTGTCTGAAAAGGTCAGTACTGAGGATTCAGCACTGCTGTTTGCTCTGCACACGCTGTTTTCAGTGGTCGAGAACTGCATCTTTTCAGTTGTGTTGCTGTGTGTGCTACTTACGCCACTAGGAGGTGCACTGGGCTCTTTGCTCACTTGGGATTAGACAGGGTGAAATAAACACCAGTATTGAATGCAGTGGGATGTGGTGGTTACTTCTGCAGGGGATCTGGAGAAGAGAAGGCTGTGAGGTGACCTGATGGTGGCCTGTCAGTATCTAAAGGGGAGCTACAGGAAAGAAGGAGACAAACTCTGATGGTGGGGTCTGTGGTGACGGGACAAGGGGAAATGGCTTCAGGCTCAGGGAGGTTGGATTTAGGTTAGATGTAAGGAAAAAATCTTTTTCAGTGAGGTGGTGAGGCACTGGAACAGGCTGCCGGAGATGTGATTAATGCCCCGTCCCTGCAAGGCTTTCAAGGCCAGGCTGGATCAGGCCCTGGGCATCCTGACCTAGCTGTGGTGTGCCTGTGCACTGCAGGGCAGTTGGACTTGATGGCCCTCAGAGGTCCCTTCCAGCTCTAAGGATTCTAGCATTCTGTGATCTGTACTAATAGAGAACCTGGAGCTGTAATGGGAAAGGATGTGCATCCCTATTGCTTTAGAAATGTAACTGTTACATTTTGTCTCTAACTTGATAGTGGCACTGTAGGCCCTTTTTTTTTTTTTTTGGTGATTAAATTCAGTGAATTTCTACTGTATTTTTTTTACTGTTTTATTTTTGCAGTGTGGGAGGTCGTTCAGTCCAAACTTTCTGTTCTTATGGCCTAATGCAAGAGTTGCTCTTGTGGATTCAAGACATTTGTCCATGGTCCCACAAGCTGGAGACAGCGATTGTACAGATGAATCTGAGCTAAAACGTTTGAAACAAAAGTAAGGACATTAAGCAGTAAAATCCTGCAGTTATGCTGACTTTTATACCTACCTATGCTCATATTTCAGGTCAACACATCCCAAACAACTGAAACAGACCTGGATTTGATGAAAACTATTTTAGAATTCTGTATAATTCCATGTGTACTCTTAGGATCTTGCCAGGGAAATGCAAAACTTTTACTTAGAAAATCCTGCAATCACAAAACAAGTCAGTGCTGTAAATTAACCTGTAGTGATCTTCTGAATGCAGAGGATCATCTTTGAGCTACAGAAGGATCGGATCTGTTATGTGTTTGCTGGATACTAGTGGATTTTAACACTAGAACAGCACATTCACTTGAAATAGAAACGTATGCCTTTTTTATCTTCAGCTTTGTTTTACCAGCCTGCTGCTCTTTTGGTTAAACTTTTCTGCTTCTAAGCGTGTTTCATGTTCTCTTCTCCAGGCTAGAGGAAGAGAGCAGTGCGTTTTACTCTTCTGCCAGACTCTGGGATGATGGTGTAGTTCTCCCCCAGGATACCAGGAAGGTAGCTGGCTTTGTTTTTTTCCCAGTGTATGTTCTGTGATACATTTTCATCCCCAGATCTCACCTTGTGATGAATGTGCAAGCCTCTGGTTCATTCACTTGCGGTCAGCTAGCATGCTGATTTCCAGAACCAGCTCTCTGAGTTCTTACTCTGTTTTTCCTGGTATTTAGCTTTGGATTCTCATCTGTTTCTACCCTATCTGAAGATATAGATCTATTTGTTCTTCCAAAAATTTTCTGTTGAACTCTGGGTGCATTCTGACTACAGGATTTCCTCAGTGAACCTCAACTGACTTTCCAGTTTGGTTCAGTCTCCCACTCCTTCCTTTTTATGGTCTTGCACATGACCCATGTTTGCTCTCTTAAGTTTCCTCTTCACTGCCTGCATTGTTTTTGTTCTTTTGTTACAGGATGTTTTCTCAGTTGGTAGGCATCTTCTCCAAGATGTTCTTTCTAAAAGCCACCACTGCTGTTTTGCAGTGTTGCACTGTTTGTTAGCAGTGTGTGGATGTTCTTTGCACTTCTGAAGGCTTTCTTTAAAAAACAAAACAAAAAAAAACCCAACCCCAAACGATCACAAATACACCCTGATACCAATTAATGTTTCTAACTAGGGCACATGTTTATGGTGCAACCCATGTTCAATATTTTCTGGAGTGTATATAGGGACTTTGATAATGGGATTGGCCTGAGAAGCGTTTTACAGAATCACAGAATCACAAGGCTGGAAACGACCTGCAAGATCATCCAGTCCAACCACCCTCCCATTCCTATCAGTGCCACAAGCTACTAAACCATCTCTCATAGCTCCTCATCCGGGCGTTTCCTAGTGCTTGAGACCCTGCCTTTCTCTGGGAACCACTTGAGTGAAGAAAAGTGTGACAGTTGGACTGAATTGCTGTGATTCTCTTCAGGCAGTACAGGTTTCACCAGCATGCCACAATTCATGTTCACATATTTAGTTGTTCAGTCATTTATTTAACACTGTGGTTTTGCTATTTTATCCTGGCTCTTGCTCCTAGATGGGGTTTCAGTTTAGCTTTGTCTGAACTGACAGCACGTGCCTGGATTTAGCATGCCTTTAAAAAACAATAATTTTTTCAGGACAGCGCATGCTGCTGTGCCAGCAGTCAAATACACACTGAAATTGGGAAAATCCTTATCCCAACTCTTAAATTTTCAGCAAAAAGCTTTTCCAGAGAAAAGGTTTTGGCAAAGCCAACTACTGCGTGTGCCAGGTGATGAAAGTTAAACCGCTCCGAGATTTTGTTCAAGGCCCAAAACCAGTTCTGTGTATTCTTTCCCTGCTCTCACGAGGCACCAAGAAATATCACCTATTAGAAGATGGACACTTAAGGAGAAGAGCAGAACATCTTGATATTGGAAATCTTAGGTGTGTAGCTATGAAATAACTGAAAGAAACGTTCAGGCATCTTTTTTCTTTGCATTTCCTATGACCCAGTGTCACATCACACTGATGTCTGTTTCTGCAAACTGCAGCTGTACATTTTAAATGCACACTGATTTGCAGAAATAAGAACAAATGTATTATTGAATAACTGCTTAGCTGGTGACCTTTCCTGACTTCTGTTTCAGAGGCTCATTGCTTATCTTGTTTGTGGTTGTTTTTGTTTTAATCAGGTAATTGCACAGTGCTTGCAGATCATAGAGCAGCAGAAGTACCAGGTGCCACCTCCTTACCAGTATCCTGTGATGAGAATGTAAATGCAGCCCTTCTCCAGTAATCACCCTTTGAAGATAGCACCTTATATTGGAAAGCTTTAATGTAAATGATTTTCTAATTCTTTGATACCATGAATAAAAACGTTAAACCAATGCAAACAAACAATCCTGGATTTCAAGTCTGTTTACAAAGAAGTTTGTATTTTGGGACATAGTCTGTTAGTACTGCACAGTCATTTTGTGGAAAGAAGGGATTAAGTTTTGATTCTGTAGCACTCTAACAAAGCAGATTCACCCTAAGCTGTAACAATTGCTTGATTTTTTTGTTTTTATTTTTTTTCATATTAAGAATATGCAGAACTCAAACAGCACTTTGAGCAAAGAAATGAGAAAGAGAGGACATATGTGGCTGAAAACTAGAAGAGAGTAATGCATGTAAGATTTAGCAAAGCACAGAATGCTGCCTGCAAAGTGAGATTGCCAGAGCACCGTGGAAAGGCTCCCCTCAGCTTGCTCTGAGGATGCTGGGCAGTGACCAGGAGGTGAGTTCAATCCAAAACACCCCCATAGGATACAGATTACCTCTTCTCAAAGGATGCAACAGCACGTTGTCTTCTACATGTTACCATGTGTAGAGGCACTGAGGTTGCACTGTGCTATTTTGTGCATCTTTCTCTCTGTTGCATCTACAACATTTAATTTTGTAAAAGAAACCGTGTGGTTTATTGTATTGCATTGTACATCTTGCAATTAGGCCGTGGAGTACATCTGAGAAATGTCTGGGTGAGTATTCTGAGAAATAAGCAGCCAAACTGAAATGTTCAGTCTCAATTAGGGCAGTGAGGCACCTGTGGGTACCTGAGGCAGGGGTTTGGGGGCTGTAACATCCCTTCCAACCGAAACCATTCCATAGTTCTGTGAACTAAGTACTCACAAATAAATGTCCTAAATTCCTTCAATGTCACTTTCTGTGTGCTTGCAAATGGAGACTGCATCTTTTTGAAGCTGGAAGAAGCCTCACACGGCGTGTTGCAGGCAGCACTCACGCTCTTTTGAAGAGTCCATGGAAAGTCACAGGGATGTTCACCTCCACTTCAGCCCTGGCCACTTCGCTCATGTCCTTGGCATTCAGGATCAGGAGGTAGGCAGGCTTTGGCCCTGAGCCGGGGCTGATCACAATGCTCAGCACCACCCCTGGGAGGTGACAAACACAGGCACTCAGCACAGCCAAGGGCTCTCCTGGCTTCACGTGTTTCTGCTCAGGAAATGAGCAAATGAGGAATTTGGGGAATGAATAGATTTAAGCCTAGTGCTGCCACCTTCAGAAGTAGGTACAGGGCTGGCAGTGTGTGAATAAATGCGTGCAGTGCTTGGCATGAACGCAGCTCTGTGTCCTCCACATCCAAAGCCTGAATTTGTCCCCCTTCTACACAGGGAGGAGGGCTTTAGAAGTAAAAACATCCTTGGTTTAAGACAGGTTAAATTTCACAAAGCTTGGCCATCTGGAATTCTTTTAGTAGTGTGGTTCCTGATGGAAAAAGGCTGGGAAATGAGAACAGATGATCTGAACCTACAGATTTTTTCCTATGTTTTCATTCAATTCTGATTTTTCCGTGCTCTCAGAAACTCTCCTGCAGCATTAGAGCAGGGCACATCTCACCCAGGAGCAGCCTGCAGGTCCCCTGGCTCCTGCCTGTCCCTGGTACACCATGGAAGTAGGTCTTAGCACCAGCACACCTGGGGCCAGCGGACACAGACTGCAATCAACTCCAATTAACAAGCCAAAAATCATTACTTACCATCATCCTCCTCCAGAGCATCTGGATGGGAAACGAAGATTGGCTCTGATGGGTACGAATCTGGCTCCTGCCACACCCAGGTCTCCTTTGTTTTAACATTCAGCTTGCAAAGCTAAGTGGAGAAAATAAAACCACATCTCAAAAATGCCCTAACTTGCCATTAAGCAAAGGCTCATCAAAAAGATGTGCCTCACCCCTTTTCTGATAGTTACCCTGTCTGGAACAAAGTGATTCAGTCCAAGCCCATATGTGTATGTATATGGTTTCCCACCATATTTCTTGTAATTGATCTGTGGAAATTCAAAGGCTGCAAAAATAAGTATATGCATGAGGATTAGCAGGACATGGATGGCTGATGGGACCTGTGCTGCTCTGTGGCTCAGAGCTGTCATCTTACCATGGCGTGGCCCTGAGAAAATAACTTCTGGCTCCAGCCAGATGGTCTCATCGCTGCGCAGCGTCGCCGTGGCTGTCGTGTAGGGCAGGGTGACCAGGTTCTTGCCTGTGTCGGCCTGGGACAAAGAACAACACCCAAGACAAATGGAGAAACAAAGTTCTGAGTGTACTTGCATGGAAGCTGGCAATGTGCAGCAAAGCCTCGTGAAGCTGCAGAATAGAAACATGCGCAGGAATGGTTGATTCTTTTGTTTTCTTAGTCAGCTTTTAGTGTAATAAGAATGCCTATCAATAAGGCTAAATCCAGCCTGTATTTCTGCTCTCAGCATGCTTATTAGGTGAACACACATGTAACTTTTCCCCCTCGACAGGACAGTTGGAGGCTTGTTATGGTCTGCATGGTTTGCTTGAGCAGCAGAGCGAGACAGAATACAGCTCAGATAGACTCATCCAGTGAGGAGGGGGACCACAGCAGGGGGAGCTGGAAATCACACAGCTCTGCACCAAGCTGACTACTGCTTTAAGGGGTAAACGTTGTAATGGGAAGGAAAAGTTTGAAGTAAGCATGACCAGGAAAAGCACTGGGAGTACTTGGCCACAGAGTGCAGGGGCTGTGCAGACAGCAGTGCTGGTGGCAGGGCTGGGCAGTACCTTGTCGATGCGGAGGGGCAGCACGTATCTGCGGGCTTCGGGCTGGGGGGCTTTCTCTGCCTGCTTCTTTACCTCATCCCAGTTTGCTCGGAGGTTGGCTAAGTAGAGGTAATTGTAAACAAACTCAAATCTGCACAGAAATGGGATCAGAGACAGCAAAGAAGTCATTGCCAGGAACGAGTTCCAAAACAGCTATTTTTTTCCCCTAGAATTCAATTAAGTGACACGAGCCCTGTTCTGATCCACTGAAAGTCACAGGGCCAGACCAGATGAGCTGTTTCCATCTTGATGTGGGGCCTTGATATGGAAGCATTGGCACACGCTGCCCAGGGGGTGTCCAGAACCGTGGCGATGTGGTATTGAGGGACGTGGGCAGTGGGCATGGGGGGCAGGCTGGGGGTCTCAGAGGAGTGATTCTATGAAGGCAGTGTTGGCACCCACCCCTTCCACGTGCAGAGGTCGACAATGAGGAACCCGTTATCCTCAAAGGTGTTGATGTGATGGAAGAGGTTGAAGGCTGAGGTCCGGTACTTGATGTTGAGGAGCCGTCCTTTCTTTTTCTCTGCCACGTGAAGCCAGACCTGAAAGGCAAGCAGCAGGTCAGTCTCACTGGTGAGTGGGCATGGTGTGGTGGGCACAGGCCCTATGTGACCCATGGTCTCCTTGGACTTACCCCCATGGTCTCGTTGGACTCAAAGCAGTCCATGTAGTTGGCTCCCCAGAGGCTCCAGGAGGAGAGGAACTTGAGGAGGTTGATCTTCACCGGGGTTTCGACAAATACGATGTAATTTGGGGTCAGGCCAAAGCTGTGGGAACACAGAGCACGTGGAGCACAGTGCAGCACGGGACGCAGTACGGAGCTAAATGCTACAGCCATGCAGGCACCCCGACGTCGGTACCAGCTCTTGCTGTAGTTGCTCATTACAAGCAAAACCAAGTCCTGCTGCCACTTCTAGAAGGGAGCTCTGTCAGGGAAGACTCATTTGCCAAAGCAGCTGGTTTGAGATGGCGAGGAGGCTGCATGCAACAAGGAACCAGAGCGCAGTGAGTCTGCAGTCAGCCAGCTGAGCCTGGCAGGAGTTACCTGTGCACGTAGGAGGGCTTAAATCTGTCACTGCAAGGGAACTGCACCACCACCTCTGACTTGTTCATTGGGTCCTCCTTGTCTGCAAAGGACAGCCACATGGTTACAGGAGAGCTTCCAGCCACACGCTGCCTGCATTAGCAGTGCTTGCCCTGCAAGGCCTCTGCCTCTAGCACAAAGGAAGCTTGTGAGCTAGGGCATGTATCCAGCTTGCTAGTTCTATGGTTTTGGTGTCTTCTTTTCTTTTAATGCTTTAATAGAAAAAAAAAAGTTTTGTTATTTACATACATTAACTATCTTATGATTTATATGTGGCCCACGACAGTTCCTCTTTGCTCAGTTTGGCCCATGCAGGCCAAAAGGTTGGACACTCATCGTCTAGAATCACATAAATAACTGTGTTAAAGATAACATTTCTACTGCTGAAAGAAAGAAGGAAGGACAAACGAAGAAATCTGGTGACAAAATGCATTTGAATAATAAGAAGTAATTTATAGAACAAGATTTTCACTCATTTGGAGCTCATTGGAGCTCGTTTGGAGGTGTGTTGAACTGACCTGCTTGGAGTGGAGGAATCCGTATGATGTTGTAGGCCAGTGAGAAATTTTTCCCAAAGCAATTGCCAATGTTGTAAACGGTGCCATCGTTCTCCACGTGGGGGTGAGCTGTGGCCCCATTGACAGAGACGTATTTGCAGAGATCCACCTGGGGACGGAGTGTGGGGAGGCATTGTCTGTCTGGGATGAGGGTGAGCGATGTGGGAAGAGAGGTGAGGCTGCCCTGTGTTAGGAGCTGATTGCCAAAACCTACCTGCTTAATTGTCTCTAGAGTGTCTGGGTTAATTCTGGTGATAAAGTTGGTCTCTGTACAGGCGTAGTAGTCCTCGCCAACGGGGTAGACATTAACGAGGGCATTATCTGTGACCTCCACCCCTTTAAAGTAGGAGAAAAACCTGTGTGGAGGAAGGCAGCAGGGTCAGCAGAGGCCCCGTGGCACGAAGCTGCAGTGCTTGGCAGAGCCCCGATACCTGGAGAAAATGTTCTTGCATGGGTCTGGGTAGGCGTAGGTACCAAATTCAGTTATCACGATCCTCTTCTCTGTCATGGCTCGCACGTAAGCATCTGTCCTAACAAACCTAAGGAGGTGAAGCACATTACAGACAGTCACACCAATGCAACAAGCAAGGCAATTCAATTAAAATAAACACAAATACTTTTTGTGATGAGGCTCATGAGA